CAGACTCGCAATTCGCTCCCGTGCTCCTTTCTGCGTTACGCAAGATCCTCCTTCCATGTAACGACGTGCTCCGTTCTCCACGGGAACACTTCAGCGCATGGAGGGAGCCGTTGGGAGGATGAAGCAGGGTCACGCAGCAAAATCAGGTCGCTGTATGCTGGAACAAAGCCTCATTAGCTGCAAAAGAGCAAAAGCTGCAGACAGTACAGAGCCGTCCTCTGTCTCTCTTTTCCAAGATCTCCCTCTTCTTCTGCCTGAGAATTTGGAGAAGGGATTTTGAGGAATGTCTGCTTCCCTGAGATGTGAGCAGCCCTGAGTTTTGATGAGCAATCCCATTGCTATCACACACATCGCAAGTAAGGGCCACTGTGCCGACATTCCCCTCGCTGTAGCTGCCTAGCCACAAGCCACAGCTCTGACGCTTCCAGAAGCCTGTTCAGACAGGGTCTCAAACCCCCACCTGGTGCAGAGTAGCTGTAAGATGAAGCAGGGAAAAGCAAAGAAATCAAAGAGGAGGCAGCTGGGGCAGTTGAACTTCACCTCAGTCCACAGTTGAGTGCTCTGGGAACACGTTCTCACTCCATGCTGCTGCAGGGAGGAGTTCAGCCAAGTCTGGTTTGGAAAGTAGGACACAAGTTTTAAGCACCCAGCAGAATAGCCCTCACTTTAAATTCACATCATCGCCCACATCAGACGAGCTTACCTGAATCACGACACCACAGCTCTTTGTCCAAACTGAGACATCATAAAAAATTTAATCTTATGGTTTGGGTTTTCAAGAATTTAAGAAGTGAAATGCTGCTCTAAGGAAGTTTTAAACTCATCTCCATTGAGTTCATGCAGTACTTCCCTGGCTCAAACCACTCGCAGCATAGATCTCCAAGTCACTTCGCAATAGCGAAAAACCATGAAAGCAGTACTGCTGGATGGGTCCAAGAAGCTGCAGATTGTAAAAGCACCCTCATTTTTCCCTAAAAAATGACAGCTTTCAGCACACCAGTGACTATTGTGCTGACCAGATGGTGGTGGGAGCAGCAACTTGGATGATGTTAATTACACACAAACTCCAAAACAGCTGATGTCAAAACCCACTTTGAGAATGCCCCAGAATGGGCTGCTAAGCATATGGGAGCAACACTCCTCTAAAACTGTATTTTGTGTGCGTTAAACAACCAACAAGCTCCACCACGGAGTCCAAGGATGAGCAGCAGCAACAGCAGGGTCCCGGATCCCAGCTGTCTGATGCTGGGCAAAAGGCAGGTGGAGATGTGGTGGAAATGGCAGCCCACAGCTCCTGGGCCAGGTCCTTTGCAGAGCGAGCACACGCAACTCGTGCCACCAACCCAGCCAGCTCACCTCGTCCAAGGACAAGACAGAGGCCTTGAAGGAAACATCCCAGGTGATCTGCTGAGCTGCCCTGGGTGATCTCCAACGAGAGGATGAGCCCTGCTGTGAGAGCCCACTGTTCTGTACTCTGGTACTCTTGAAAAGGAACATCATATCATTTGCAAAATGCACATGGTGAGCAGTTTGAGAAAAATTATGCTGGCATTTGCCAACCCTCAACGAGGACTTTCCAACAAACCCATGTGGTTTCAGAGGTTCTGCAGAGGTTAGCTTTACCCCAACAGATAATCAGCATCTTTACCTGCAATTTGTAAGTAAATGTAAATTCACGAGGCACCACCCCACCAGAATGGACTTGGATACAGTCAATTACGTATTTATCTTTTTCAGAAACATCGTTAAGCCTAAGCTTACAACATAGGGTTCCGAGTAGGATCTACAGATCACAGTTGAACTGCATACTGGAAACTCCTACCTCTGCTCCAGAGCGCTTTCCTTGCCACGTTACTCTTCTTCCTCCAGCAGTTATTTACCTTGTAACTTACAGGCTTGCTTGGAGATGCAAGTCGCACAGATCCAAAGAAAAATGGGATGGGAAAGGACTATGGGCAGTCAGCCAGCCTTTTGCCCTGCCCCAAACCCAGCTGAAATGTAGCTATTGCTCCTGACAAATGCTTGCTCTTAACAGATCTCCATTTGTGGAAAAGCTACCATCTCCTCACACATCTGCTCAGTGATTCTCTATCCTTATTTTTTTATATTTGGCCCCAAAAGAAACACTCACTCATCCTAGCTGCAGTTTCAGCCCAGTCTACCACACGATTTCAAGCTCAGGTCTCTCCGCGTGTCCTCACAAGTGCATTTTCCCGTGTTTTCAAGATATCAGTCATGCCACTCTCCACCAGACTCTGCAGTCCCAAGCGCAGCGTCTCAAATTGCGTGCTTACAGTTGCTCCTGCGATGCACGGGATTATCCTGAGTCTCACCAAATATATCACCATTTGTGAACCCTAGCCTGAAGCCTGTTTTTCTACCACTGGTGGGACAAAGTGCCAGGTCCCTTATCCGAACTAACGCTAACGAGCTGGCACAGCTCTGAATTTGTGCAGTTGTTCAACCCTACCTAAATTTAGTGCCTTTCTGAAAAGGATCTTGTCTTTCCCCACCATCTCCTCCCTGTCGCAACCACTTCTACAAGTTGCCAAGGCTATTTTGAATTCTAATGCTATCTTATCTTTCGCATCTGTCCAGCTTCCTGTTGACTGCAGATTTAACGTGCATACTACTTTGTTATCCAGGTTGCTAATAAAAATGAAAGAGAAGTGACCTAGCGCAACTCCCACAGCCCATGCAACAGGGTCTTCTCTTCTGACTCCAGGTGCAAGACGGAAGGAAACCACTCCCAGAGCAGAGCTGCTCACAGCCCAGCTCCGCCCACTACCGAACACAGCTCTGTCTCCAATTTCCTTTTTGCAGAACACCTTCTCTATTTGCCCAGCAGCCACCACAGATTTTGTCCCATAACCAAGTGCAACGGTGCCCAATTCATCATCTGTGGCCCTCTTCCAGAGCAGGACCGCAGATCTTGCAGTGGGTGCAAAGCCACAGCCTGCCCCCTCTGAAGGCGTAACCAGCAATTCCTTTTGCTCTTGGTTGTCGGGGGGGGGGTTACGTTTGCATCTGCATACGCAGTGCACGGGTTCCTCGCAGCAGATTTCTTCATTTGCCAGTGTTACCGCACAGCTGTTCAACTACTTATTATCCTGTCATCCACTAATAAGAGCTTAAACTAGATAATTACTACTTCCTACTTCCATGAAACTTGTTCGTCAGTATCTAAACCCACTCCTTTCCGTCTGCCCCCATGAAAGAGCTATTTGGAGTTTTAAGAGCCAGCTTACCAGGAGACAGAGCCCTGTGCTACCGTAAGCAAACGCTCCTTCACTTGGGAAAGCCCTTCCGTCCGGAGCGCGGGGGCAGGGACAGGGCTTTCTGCTGCCTGCAAACAGCCCACCTGCAGAGGGGAACGGAGAAGCTTGCCTCTGAGCCTAGGGAAGTCAGTTCACTGAGATCACAGCCAGACCATATTCCAGAGCTAGAACAAATATTATCCTGTCTTCTACTCTTGCCTTTGCTTTATCACTGTCTTATTAATAGCTTCAGTTCTTGTCATTTTTTTTTTTTCTCCCCTTGACAAAGCACATCTTACCTCCTTTTATTCATGCCCTCTGAGGTACTTTCTTCTTTTACTTCTTCCAGGAGCTTGTCTTCCTTGGGGGAGGAAGAGCCACACAGATTGCCATATTAGATTTCTCATTCCATGCCATTACACTTGAGTGCTTTTAAATAGGTAAATTAACTTTTAAGTGATCCCAGTTGTACTATTGGCCTTTGCTACAATTCTGCATTAAAGTTGATTCAATTTTAATTACCACTATTGCTCAATTAAGAAGAATACACAAAGAAAAGCATAGTTTTGCAACTAGTAATTGCAGCCCAGGAGGGAGCTGGGCTGTTCCGTTACCCATGATGACTGATCACCGCACCACAGCACATTGCCCATCTAGCCAGGAGGGGAACTAGCTGTGCCTCCCTCACTACTACTTAAATTAGCTATTTCTTGAAGAAGCAGCAAGAATAGAGATCCCCACTTGCAATTAGATTATTTCAAATAGCTTTGCTCATGCATACGCCACCATCTGTACGCTCTCTGCTACACCAGCACATGGTTAACAGGAGCTTCTGCAGGAAGCAAAGTCTTTGCTCCAACAGCAACTCTTTCATTTACTCATCCAGAACAAGGAGAGTGATTTTTGTTGACAGTAAGCAGCTTCACTTTCTCCCATGCAATGTATATCAACATGTCAAGAACCCAACAAGTTTTTTCAGTGTTCTTGAGGCTCACTACACACATATTTCAATATCAGTATCACAGATCACTGCTACTTGTAGTTGTGTATGCAGTAGGAGTCATAAAAGCAAGCAAAAAGTTTAGAACTTCCTACTGGCTACCCAAACTTTTAAAATTTTGTATAGATACTGAGTTATGTAAGCCAGTTAAAGGCTTACATAAAAAAATTTAGGCCAGTTCCCTTTATGAGGAGGATGACCCTAATCACAAGGCTGGAGCCTGTGTCACGCCTTGCAGTAACCTTTATCATATGCCTCAAGACAATTTATTTCTTAATCACATTCCATTAGCTGACTTAAAATATGTTGCTGTATTTCAGCTTACGGCACAGGGCACAGCAGAAGTTGGCTCACTTAAGCAAACTAATGGGATGCACTGAACTGCCATAATCTAAGCTTACCCATTTATGTCCAGTTTAAAACCATTTCAAGATTAATCTCCCCCTTGTTCAGGAAAATCCTTATTGTAGCTGAACTAACAAAGTAAGTATGTGTTGCCATAGTCTGCAATGAATACAGTACTACATCTGAGATTATTACAGTGCATGTAATCCTCGAGACACACTTTTGGGATCCAGGACAAGTTATTCCCCAGCTCCGCAGACTAACTTGATGCCACTTTCTTTTCAGATGACCAGGAATCTGCCCTCCCCCTCCATCCAGCTCTGCAGTTAAGTACCATGTTCTAGGATCTGCCACAGACTACACATTTTCTACTAGTAAAATTCATAAGGAGACACAAGTGCAAAGCAAAATGTCATTTTATTTAATTCAAGGACTATTTTCCTTCTAGTATTGCTGAAGGGATCACCTCCTGGGGAATTGATCATTACAAAGTCCCTGTCTAAAAGTTCAAGTGCTCTTGTACATTCTTTTGAACCACAGAAAACATAATGACCAAGTAGGTGGGCAGTTACTTGCAGTTTTATCCCACCTAAATTAGCATTGCTTCAGGCTAGAAAACAATTCAAGTAGTAAAATAATGGAAAATGTTAACCTTTAAGGTCACTACCATACTTTGATCAAAAAGTCCTGAACGTATGAAAAGAACATTTGTACATGTTATGAAGTGTTTTTAACCAGACACTGTCGAAGATGGCAGTTAAGTATTTTGGACCAGTTGTCAACCAGATACTTAGGAGTTCTATCTGAAGGTTCATTACCAATTTTGTTATGCAGTTCACTTTTCACATTAAGCTCTTTAACAAAAGCAACATATACCCGCACCAGAATCACTGTAGACAGATTTAGTTTTATAGAATGCCCTTCTGAAAATTCATTTCAAAATAGAGATGCTTTTTCTCCAGAACTGTAAAAGCCATAAAAATGCAAAATATCTGTTAGGAAATTTTTAATCAAAATTATTCCTTAATGTTCAAAATAACATTTAACCTCCTACTTTTTTGTTGTCATCCACATATTGATCAATAGACTAAACAAGTAACAATGGTTCACGTTTTTCCCCCACCTGAAACATTTCTTCTAACACAGGCCCAAGACAGGCAATACAGAGATTCAGGGACGTGGATTATGCATGGCAAAGGTAATCCTCTATCATTTTAATTTAGAACAACTCTGACTCTAGCACACAACTTGGAGTCTCAGTTGTTTTCAATCTGCTCTAGGTCCAAGTCCCCACAGTCTAGAGGAAAGATGCCTTCTTCGGTGCTCTCACAATCGCTTGTGTCCTCATCGCTTTCACATACTGCAGCTGCTTTCTTATAATCCCTTGTTTGGAAGCTACCTTGGCATGACCCATGATGCCTGACTTCATCCAGCTGTTCTTTCATCGGACTGGAACCAGGGGTGATGATGTTCATAAGATCATTTGAGTCACATGGGGATGACACAATCGTCTTCATTTGTGTGTCATCATCATCATCTTCATAGTCAAGGGAGCAAAGACTTTTGGAATTTTTTAAAGTCTGCAATTAAAGAAAACATGAATGTATTAACCATGATTGCACAGGAGGAGCCAAAAAAATTCCTTAAATTCTTGGATGGATTAAGATAATGTACTGAAAATCAGAGTGCCACATGTGGAAAAAAGAAAAAGGAAGAACAGTATTTACTCTTAATACGCAACCTGGTTTCACACAGTGTTTTGCCTACGTAGATTCCCATGCGTGAAAAAACCTGCCAGTCTCCTTTTTTTATGAAGAAAGACTCAAAAATCTAGCTTTTTTTAGGGACAACAGACATCCGGTTTGATGTATTAGCTTTCTGGCAAATCCAGAGCACAGCATTTGGCAGCATCAGCGTTCAGGTCAGGCAGCTGCACTGCAGCCTAGTCAACAACTAATTTCTCAAAGTTCCCAAGCGTGCAGACACAGAGCCCTCGGGCCTCACCTCAGAGACAGCCAGGGTCTGCAAGGCAACCAGCACGTTTGGGCAACCTCAGAGCAGGAGAAAACCAAGCTTCTGCTGGAAGCACCTTGCTCCAGAGTCAGCTTCGTTTGTCTTACATTTGGGTACTATTTGAACAAGAGCTCAGGAATTTGAGCAATTCCGTTTAAACGAAAAGCAGATTAAAAACAGAGAGGCACTCACCTTTATTTAGACAAAGGAAAAAAAGAGGAAACCTCAGTAAATGTGCTACCTCTGCCCCTCAGATAAAGGAATAATATGCCTAAGCTCCTCATGTAACTAACGAGATCCTTGACTAGAATCCAGAAGCAGCATTTCAGAAAAAACAGAACTATACAGACAGCAGATGTTAGAATTTAGTATGTGAGAAACTTCTAAATTCTGCCTCATACAAGCACGCAGCGAGAGGAGGGTGAAACAGTCAGAACTCCTCTCGAGGTGGCAAGAGCCAGGAATATAAAGCTGTGGTGGCTTTCAGAATCTCACTGGTTAAGTGACTCCAGTCTCTCATACACACAGCAATCGTTTTATTACAAGTAGATCCACAGGGAACAAGACCAACTTTCACACCCATTTTCAGCCTCCTCCCCCAAATTTGTTATTTCTTAAGTATTTTAGACTTGTTGATATATTCAGATGAAACAGGAACATTGCAATGTTCCCAGTATGCTGTATTCCAGATGCTCTTCCAGAGCACTGGATAATCTTTCTACTTCACTGCATGTCAGCAGCCACACGAGCAGCTTACCAACATCTTTGGGTGGTCTTTAAACACAACTTCAAAAATTCAGGAGAAATCTGAATCCGTCAGCCTCGCCTGTATACAACTGCATGAAGGAGAGGAGACTGAGGAAATCTCACAGAGGTCAAGTGATTTGCCTGATCCCTTTGGGTCAATGTCACATATGGAACATCTTGCCAGCAAGCCCACCGCCACTCTGCAAGTTCTTACAGTTCTTTGGACGTCCTGACATCAAATCTACATAGAAAGTTTGAGGGAAAGCTTGGGTAAAGGTAAAAAGCAAAACACTTGAGTTTTAGAGTTCGACCACAGCACAACCAGTGGTTCACCATCGTTGGTATCGCTCCATAGGTAAGACACCGCAGCAGCATTCCCCAAGGCTGCAGCACAGGAAGACACTGCAGCGTGACACCCTCCACCACTGCTCAGAGGTTTGCTATGCCTGTATCACACACAGCTCTCCCCTTGCTCAAACAACTTCCATACCTTATAATATACATCACATGATTAATTAACAAGCCACAGGTTTCAGGCCAGAAGGATCTATACAGGTTAATCTAGTTTTCTGGACAGACACAAACGAGACCTCATTTAGGAGCTGATATCTGTATCTTCAACACCTGTACCCAAAGATCAACTTTCAGAAGAAGAAAGACTGTTGACCATAGTTCTGGCAGTAGGAATTCACCAAAGCCTTTGTTAGCCATGGTTAAAACCCATATCCAATTTTGCATGTCACTAGCACCAACAAAATTGATAATATTTCATAATCACAAAGCTTTGTGTTTCCAAATCTCACCCCCCTACGAAAACAGTTTCAGTACAAGACACCTTCCTGTTTTCAAAACATTTCTATATAGCTCACAGCTTATCCAAGCACAAACATTTGAGCTCATTTTTATGACTAAAGTGTGAATTTCTCTCATATTTACTTAAATGCAAAACAGTATATTTTTGAAGTAGAAAGTGTTAAAAGATATTTTAATCCTAATTCTGTCTCATTGCTCTGAAAAAGAACACATTTCCTGTTGTGTATCTCCATATAGAGGACAATATTTTCAGTTCTTTAAATCTTACAGTAGGCACTGGGAAGGAAAGGGATCAAATAAAGTAAAGCTTTGAAAGTTCTGCTTTCAATGTTTTAGAAAGGAATTCCCAAGTCCCCCTTCAAAATATCTTTTATTCAATTTACTGCTAGAAATTAATCCAGCCACACAGCTGTCTTTCTAGAAGGTTTGTGTACATAAATGGAAAATTGCCTGTTAGCTGCACTACGCTGAAACCACTTGAATGGGAACTTTTAACCGGCTTCAACACAACAGCAAGTGCATTCAACTGCTTCTTTGTTCACCCACTTGTCACAACTGCACCGAACTAAAAATAGGTAGATTTATTATCTCACAGCACAATCCCACTTCTTTCAAAGCAAAAGGTAGAAATTGCAATGCATTCAAGCCCTCGAAGCTGCAGCTTTACATGTTACACTGGTACAGTACCACACCTTTCAAGCACAATTGTGCTCAGTGGGGAGCCTGCAAGTACTTGCTCAATGGTCCTCATTTTATAAAGGATGCTGGACTAACAAGACAAAAGAGTCCGCAGTTGGCAATGGATAGAACTTAATCAGCTAAAAGTATTCTTTTGTGGGATGGAAAAAAAGAAAAAAGAAACTCAGAGTTTTAAAAGAAGGGAGGCGATAAAATGTCTGAATATTAAGAAAAAAAACTTTGTCTCGAAAACAATGGTGGGGAAGGAAATAAAAGAAATCTCTCTAGACCCTTGCCATACAAAGCAAACAAGAAAGGCCCAGAGTAGCTTGAAAGGAAGCTAATGTCTGTACTCTTTACCAAACCTCCAGTTCAGAAACCAATAATATATCACTTTCCAAATCCAAGAAGCAATAAAATGGTTGTTTTTGTTTTACTAACAAAACTACAGCATTTGCTACAGTAGTCAAGGGAAAAATAAGTCATTTATGTGCATGAAAACCTAATGTATAATGGAAGCAGCAGTTCTCATGCTTCTTCCCCGTGCCCCCATCATACACCGAGTCCACCCATTTTCCCCCCTCAGTTTTGAATGGGGCTGGAAGGCACACAGCTGCCCCGGAGAGCTGCAGCTGCAGCAGCTGGCACGGAGCGAGGAGCAGAGGAAGCCTGGAACCACCAGAAGCCCTGAGCCCATCGTACTGCTCCTCAGCACTAGGCATCACAACGGGATGGGCTGCTCCCTGGAGCCACAGGCTTCACCAGACACATCAGATGCGTTACCTGGCTTGCCTTCTGTCCCTTCTGAGACTTTTGCCTATGGCTGCACAACACAAAAGACACTGCCTTAAGAGAGAGAGTGACATAGGGTTTTTTGACTGTTAATGTTAAGGTCTCTACCAGGGATATGAGAGATGTGGGTGATGCAGTGGTCCTCATGATGAGGAGATCCTGGAATATCAGCAACCAATACAAGCCTAAAATGCTGAAGAGGCAGCCTTGAACACGGAGCAACCCGTGGCTTCTTCTGTTGCTTCCCTGTAGGTAGCCAGTCGATGGAGATGGGGAAGGAGCACGTCAGATGGGCGGCATTTCCCTTCGAGGGCTTCACAGGTCCTTATTTCACTTCCTGGACTTAGGCTTCCTATAGATTAGTCAGACTGGCTCAAAACCAAATGCCTCTACTGTTGGGAATTCATGCCACAGTTAAGTTTTAGGTCAGAAGCACCACATACAGCACGATGCTTTTGTATCTCAGACACCAACCTATCCCCGAAGAGGCTACGGTCTGGCCTCAGCAATAAGCAATGCAACTATGGCACAAATTCATTACATCAAAGAGGCTTCATTTAATGAAGCTAAGAGGGAGACTTAAGCAAGAACTTTAAATTATAACAACAAACTGTCATAAAAGAATGGGCTTAAGCAGCACACCGAATCATGCTGAAAACTGCCGACTGAACATACCTGACTGACAGCGCACTCCACTACAAAAAGATGTGAACAGTGCCCTCCCTGTAAACTGAATTTTCACTTCATGCATCTAGTTACTTGCATTAATATTACCACCTGTGAGAACTCAAGCTGGAGACATGTACAGTGTTTATTGTAAACCATCAGAAATCTCAGCTGGTTGTAGATTAAAAAAGAGCCCACCACGGTCCTAATCCTCGCATCTTCTACTACGCATAAAGGGAAAAAACAGTAAGAAAAATGCTCTGTTAACGTAACAAACTACTAACCTTTCTGTGGAGTAAAGTTCTTGACATTTGACTGACTTTTCTGTCCCGAATAGCACTGAACATTTTGTGAACACTTTAGTGTTCACAGATAACACCAGCTTCAAGAAGCTTGCAGTTGAATAGAAATACTGCTTCATTGGTACAAAGTAGTGCTGACAGCAGGAGAACAATATAGCATTCTTCATAATGGCATCTGCTTGAAGCTTGCTAACATACTCTAAAAGTTCAAAAACTAAGTTAACTGGGAAAGAATTTCTCCCTGCTCAAATCAGAAATCAGAGGTATAGAAACACATTAAGCTTTTAAAGTGTCTAAAAAAATACTTCAGGTCAGAAACTACTGCAGATTTTTAAACTATGCATTTGAAATAAACCAAAAATTCAGACTTTTTTTTTGCATTGAGCTACAGACCAAGTAGTTAAAAACATTTCTATTTATGTATTTTGTGGAAACAGAATCAAATCCCTCGAAAATTCTTGACACCTTCACAGGTGAAATCTAATCTCTGATCAAATACTTCAGGAACCAAACACGCTGGTCACTTTTTGTAGCTCTGCAGTTATCCCTCATTTTCCTGGAAATTTGAC